TCCACAGAGTCCTAGATTACAACCTTTGTTTGGCTTTTATGCTTACTTGACTGGACCTTGTGCAACTGGATAAAATCCTGACGGGGTTTAGTAGAGTTGCTTGTGGTATAGATTAGGAGAAAACTGGTTTGGTAAGTGTGTAAAGTAATCAAAATTCAGTGCAGGATAAGGAAAGGAGATGTTTAAAAAAAGCTCTTCTGATTATTTTGAAAAGCTTCCAGCAGGTTGTTTGGTACCTTGATATTTCCTAATACTGTCTCATTTATAAACCAGAATGGCAAAGATGCTTGTAGATGAGAGTGAGGCTCATAAAGAAAAGAATCATTAAGACATTTCAGCTCCTCAGGAAATGACGACTGCTGAGTGTGTGTCTAAGGATGAGCTTATGGTTAGAAAGCACAGTTTGTAATCATAGCCTGTGAATTTTTTCTACCTGTACCCCAAATTGCTTGTAATTCACCTAATTTCTCCCATTCTCAGTGGCTATAGCAATACCACTTCACCTTGTAAAAAAAAAAAAATTATGAAGCACAGCTTTGTTTCTCTTGAAAAGCAGTATAGTATCCATTTGTTGAGAATAGTTTGGGATTCACGGACTGAAAATACTTTTTCTTCTTTTCTTTTCTCCTTCTCATACAAAATATTTGCACTCTTGATACCTCTTTCATCCTCCTCATGTTCTAATTGCTTGTCAGTACAAAAAGACTCTGAGTTGGCAATATTTCATGCAGCACCACTGCACTATCTTCATCTCCACTGCAATTAATGGTCTTTCATGTCCAGCCCCGTGTTCCCAAGGTCAAGCTGGTTTTGCTCAATATGACCAGTAAGGTAGCACATGTTTCCATGTTGAGTCCCACTGCTATTTCTGGAGGTATCTCCCATTAATCAAGAAGGCTACTTTGTCATAGTGCAGCTAATGTTATCACCAAACTTTAAGTACAAAGTTGGAATAATAATGACTTCTGTTTCGTTAGATGGAGTTAACACAGCTGAATAGCTTCCCTGATGGTTTATTATATTAGTCTTTCAGCACATTGACTGATTTGTTTTTATTACCATGAAAGCTTTTGTCTTATGAAAATTACTTAGGACCACAGGTCAATGTTTTTCATGTCACATCTCCATAAGAAGTACACTGCTTCGTTATACTTTGTATTCTGTCACTGCAACCTGTATGTCACTTAAATTTATTTGTCATGAGACCACTGCCAGGCTGCCATTAGATTGTTAAAGGATATTCAGGAAATGTTGTTGCAGTAACCTTTAGAGGAAGACATATGGAAATGGACTGTATCTGTTAATTAACATTTTGATATGCAAGCCTTCTGAAGTATAAGGCCTGGTATGGATCACTACACATGAGCAGAATATTTAGAGGGATGGTGATCCTGTTTTTTTCTGAGGCAACACATGCTCCAAGTTCAAATTGCCTATCTGTCTATTTAAACTAGGAGACTAAAATGTTAAAGAACAAAAATGAAGTCCATAGAAAGATCAAAATATATGTCTCTCTTCTATCCATCCACACCAGCCTCCAAAATTAAAATGGTCTGTGATGCTTGTCTGTCTCAACAACGTTTAAAAATTGCAGCTCACAGAAAGACAACAGACAGCTTAAGGGATAGATAGGAAAGAAGAAAATGTTGATCAGTTTGAGAACCCATGGGAGTAGCTTCTGAGGTGTTTCAGGTTAAACTGAAGCACGGATCCCAGGTCTTGGACACATCACCCTCCCCTTTGGAGAAGGCACTGACAGAGAAGAGGTTACTATGAGCTAACATGCTGTGATTCTTCCCAGAAATGTCTTGAGAATAAAAAATTGGGCTGCATGCACACAAACTGAAGCTGGGGAGAAAAGAGCTTTCCTGCCTCAGACACTATGATCTTTTACAAGACCTGTATTTTAAGAGATATTTAGAACATTAATTGTTCATACTTCAGGGCTGGTCAGAATTTCTGAAGCTAGAGTTTTTAATGCTGATCCCACAGTAAGTACATGGAGATGGCATAATCCAGCACTGTTGAAGAAAGAGGCTCACTGCTTTTCTGCTTGAAAGCTTACATCTGCAGTGGTTCCCTGACGTGGTTTGGGTGTGGGGCTGCACAAATTCTTGTGGCGGCATAAATTAACACAGGAACATGCTGGGTTTTTGGAGGTGGCAGAAGGGAGGAACTGTGTCTAACAAATCAGATTTGGATTAAAACAGGAGCAGTAGTCCCAACAGGCAGGGGCTGGCAACATGGAGTAGGGATAGAGTGAGGCTGAAGCAGGTGCTGGTAGCCCAAGCAAGTATGCTTACGTGAAAATACACATGGATAAGTGTGATATATGTGAAAATATATATGGATAAGTGTGATATATGTGAAAATATATATGGATAAGTGTGATATATGTGAAAAGCATAGTGATAGACAGCGCAATGAAATCCACAGGCTAAGGAAGACAGAATTATTTGCTCTGAAAGGAATGATGTTGTCCATCAAACCTGGCAAACACCAATTTTGCAAGGTTCGACCTACCTGACCCCACTGTATGTTAGCCAAGAGCTGCAACACAATCTGAAGAGCCTAAAAAATGGGTAGGGAGCAATTGAATACAAGCTTCTTTCCTGTGGACTTTTGGGTAACTGGAGGAAATTGAAAATTTGTGGTAAACTCAGACAAAAGACTGATGGCTAAATCAATCTTTTTATACTTTCCCAAGCATCAGGTTTCATAGATAGCTCTGTGATTTCTGGTTATGTGCATGTGCCTAGGTAGCTCTGCTCACAGCATCCCTCCAAGCATTAGCATGTTTTTGTTCTTTTGGGTTATTGCCTGGCACAAACAATATAAAACAGGTCACAGGAGCTCTACAATCAAGCTGAAAATATCCAGAAAATGCAGCTGTGGCATTACATATTTGAGAGAAAAAAATACTGAGAGACCAGAAATATAGGAAGCCAATATAATTATTGTTTCCATGTTCACTGTTGTCTCACTTAGGTAAAAACCAAAACAGAGGCATCAGAAAGAACTGCAGTGTACTTTTCATGCAGGTTTCTTTTCACTACAGTGTATTTCAGCATCCAAAATTACACTGCTGGAAAGGTTCTTCCTACTGAATTTGTTGCTTTCTTTAGAGTTATTCTTTTTCCTTATTGCTTACAAACTTGAGGCTAACCAGTAATTCTCAAAATTTTCTGAAACTGGTTTGCTCTGTGAAGCAAATCTGGATGCCCACAAGTTTTGTTTGAATTTTGGGGTAGCAGTAAACCCTGTTTTCACCTGGCTTGGGTGAAATAAAATGCATTGTAACGTAGACATAGAAAAAAAGAAATTGCTTTAAGGAATATTCCAATGCAGTTCACTAACCATTAAGTATTGTTCTACTTTCCTGAGCTTAAATCTCTACTGACATGAATCTTTTATATCCTGCAGTGCAAGTTGTACTACTTGGATAACTAATACAGTTATTATTCCAAACTGAGAAAGTTTGGAATTGGTCATGATCTTTAAGCAATTGAATCTCTATCTTGTGATATTGAAAAGTTTTTATGTTTTAGTAAACAACGTAAAATTCTTGAATGTATTCCTGAACTTGGTTTTAGCTATTACTGATTTAAAAAAAAAAAAAAAGAAAAAAGAGTCTGAAATGTGTTTTTGAGGCAGTAATTTGCAGGTATATTTTCTGTGTAGTAGTAGATTTTGGTTCTTCATCCTTTTTCCCCTTTTATTTGTGGCTCTTAATGTGAGTTTATTAGCATGGGAATTAGAATAATGACATTAAATAAGATAAGCAGACAATGACAGAGAAATAAAAGGGAATTGGGAAAGTCACAGAGGCAGTTCTAACAGAAACAAGGCCAAAGCTTTTCTGGCTATATAATTGTGCCAAATTCAGCAACTGTTTATGGAAATTCTATATACTGAAATATGGCATTGTTTATCTGGAGTAGAACAGAATAAAGTTGTTGAACAGTTTATTTGTTTCAAAAACATACTTGGGGCTAGCCTAAAACTAATAACATTTTTAGGCCAAAGTGGTCAAAAATATATTGATTTATTTTACTTAGAATTCCAAGCTGGTATCTTCATGAACTTCACAAGGTTTCTGCCATCCTACTTCCTGAGTTTATTAAGGTCCCTGTGTACTGGAATGTGGCTTGGTATCTGCTGTAACCATCATTCCCCTAAAATAGACATATGTTAGCCTTGTTTCTAGTCATCAGGGACCTCCTCTGACTGGTACAGTTTTTCCCAGGTGATAGGCAGTAACCTCAGAGTCATGTTGAATGCCTCTGTGGACAACCAGAGGAGCCTCTTACATTTGAGTATGTCCAGGCTGTGGGCAGTTCCTGTCCTACTGCTCCCTTGCTGATGGTTGCCCTTATTGTTTGCAGACTGTACAAAACACAAAGGTCCAGGAGCATGCTTTGCCTGTGCACATAAAGGGCAAAAATATATTTAACCTTTCCAGTGCTAGTTCTTCTTTTCTGCCCATCAGCACACCCATGTTTTCACTGCAGCTTTCTTTTGCAGGCTCATGAACCTGTAGAATCCATCTTTGTGAAGCCTTTAAGCATCAGATGGTTTTGGCTTTCCTGATTTTGTCTGAAAACGTGCAGTTGTAATTGTTTTATTCCCTCTTCTTGCTTCCATTCCTTGTATATATTTGCTTTTTGCATTTTAGCCCTCATGAGGGCCATCAGACATCCTAAGCCAGCTGACAGTTCTCTTTTTACCTGTTTGTGAGATCAAGAAGTATTTTGCCTGTTAAAAACATCCTACAGATAATATCTTCTGTAGTCCCATAAATGGGAAACAGTCTGAAAGAAAAAACTTCAGTAAAAGCAATCTGTTTTATAAAATCATAATAAAGTGCAAAAGTTATTAACAGAAATTGTAGGGCAACAGTCTTTAGCAAAAAATGTTTTACTGATATTGATAGAAAGAAATATTTTTTCTTGGTCAATGTCTGTTCTTTGTTAATCTCTTTTTCTCCCCCCTATCCATAGGGAATGAATACCACGTAACCAGACAGCCATAAATCTTCAGCTGCAGACCACTGATAGGAGTCTATAGACCACCAGTTTGGGAAACCTCTGCTTTAAACCTCTAAATGATTCAACATTTGTGTAAGTCAGACACATTCTGGTATTATGTAACTAAATAATTTTATAGCCACGTTCATTGTAATACTAAGAGGTTCAGACACTGTATGAACTGTTTACTTTTGCACATTGTCTCTCTAATAATTAGGTGATAAAAAGTGAAAGTGTATGTGAATTCTAGATATGTCCTTCAAATGTGCACAGAAAGCTACATGCTGTTTACAGTCTGTTAAAGAAATCCTTGCCACAGTCACACATCTGGTTACATGGTTTGAGTTTGTTATTGTTGTTGTTGTGGTTTTGGGTTTTGTTGTTTTGTTTGGGGTTTTTGTTTTTGTGGTTTTTTTTATGAAACAATATCGCTAAACAAGTAAGGTCCTATTATACTGGTATTTAAGTTAAGGCCCAGCTATTCTTATTTAATAATGCAACTGACATGTAGAAAAGACTTATCTGACAAATACTCGGAAAATATTTTGTTGTCCTAACCAACCTGGATGTTTCAGGCAAAGATGAATATTGGTATTTGAACTTCCTCTGTTGCTCTGCCCTTTTATTACTTTAGAATGAGAGATACTGTGGAAATGCTACAGTATTACAAGGGGGAAACAATTTGACTAATATAGGTTGAGATGCTTTATGAATGGAAACTGAAACACAAGCTATAGAGAAATCACTTAAGTCATTGCTGAGATGCATCCATCCCTGGTAATGCATAAAAGTTAATTAACAGTGCAGAGAACGGAGCAATTTGGAGAGAAACATTACTGGATGAGGATGTACAAAGAAAGTGAAATGTCTTTCAGTTTACTGACTAAGGATAGATGAATATCTTCAAATGTCCATAACTGACCTTGAAAGTAAGGAGGGAGAGTCTGTTTGGAGATGTTCCTTGGGGTGCTCTGTCTGTGGGAGTAATAGGATAAAAGAACAGGTGATCAGGTTGTGATGTGAAAGATTAAGGCCTTTTCCATCCTAATGTCTGGTAGCTATTGAAGGCTGCCACCACAGAGCACTTAAATGCAGAAAAGAAAACATTTTTACTGATTGAACATACATAAGTATGTCCACCTAATGTAAATTGTGGTTTTCTGTTGTATGTATAGTAACTGCAAGAGGAAAACAGAAAAAGCCACTGAGTACTGGATACTGGATTTCAAGCTTGGATACATTTCAAGACAAGGAATTGTAAAGCCATTGTTTTGTGTATTTAAAGCTAAACTAGAAACTACTGCTTCAAGTATTTTGAGAACTGTCCTGCTCTGACAAGGAGGCGGACTTTATGATCTTAATAAATCCTTTTAGACTGTATTTCTTGTTATGGAATGATAGAGTTTCGATAGGCTCAAAAAATTTATTAACCTCATTCATCTATTTGCTTAGGCCTTGCTGTTTTCATTCTGGGTTTTTCTTTGGAGGGAACTTGTGTATAGAACACTTGGTGGAAAATAAGTGCTCAATCTGTGTCTGCTCCTGATAGCTGAATTCTCCTATCCTGAGTTTGCTTACCATTTTCTAGATAGATTTGGGATATGGAGTTGGTGAACAGTAACTGGCTACTACTAGTGTGGTCAAGAAGAACTAGGATGCAAGAAAAGCCTCAAATCTCCCTTGATTGCATGTCTTCTGCTACCACTTTCTTCCCTCCTAGATTTTTCAGAATTTTCCCTTGTTGTAGGTTCTCCATGCATGTTAAATGAGGTCTCATATCAATGTCAGTGTTATGGGACTTTAAAGCTTTAGCCCTATTTCTTCTACTCAAATGGTAAAATGAAATGGATCTGTCTGCATCTTCATTCAGGTTAAGAACAGTTAATATTATAAAAAATTTAATATTATAAAAAAATTTCCATTCCATGATCAGTTTGTCCAGAAGCTCTCTTTTCTGTCGATATCCAGAATGAAGATTTATGAGCGCTGCCTCTTATTTTGAATGGTATAGGTGAAACTCAGTAATTAGTCAACCTGTG